TTCCGAGTTACCTATCCCCAATCTCCCGCAACTTCCTTCATTCCCACAATTGCATGCACACACTGAGCTCAAAAGTTTTTCCAGGTTATTTCACTAGAAAGCAAGTGCTGTAACCCAGGAGGTATGGAATTTTACTTTCATAGCCAAGTTTGAACAATGATTTTTTTTATTTTGTATTTTAAATATAAAGCAAAGAGATTTGGAGCCTCTAGCTAGGCACTTCCAGATTCTGGGCACCTTTATATGCATGGCAGTTTTAAAAAGATTCAGATGAATACATGAAATATTAAATACATTAGGCATTTATTTTTGTTGATTCCCATGGGCTCTGTTGCAGCTGTCTAGAAAGAAATAATTTTAAAGTCTAGATTGGCTTTGCCCTGAAGATGTCAAATGAATAGCAGAATATATAAATGGCTTGTATGTTTATAAATTTTATTTTTTGGGATAAAAGGGAATGTGTTTAAATTTATTAGTTTGTATAATTCAGATACCTATCATTGGCTGTAATTATCAGTTTGAGTTTGCCATTGTTGATCCCTATCCCACACGTGAGACATGGACAGATAAGTGACGAGTATAAGTACAGAGCAGAACTAGGCACTACATAGCAGATCTCTCAGAGTATACCGTATCCACAGCGTGATACTTTTTCTGTATTATACTGGATTGAATATTTAATTTACTCTCGTTTTTCTTTTTGGTCACTCTGCCTTGGTGGGTACGGCTGGTTCATTTGAAAAAAAGAATATTTAATTTATGTATGTTGTTCAGGATTATGCCAAGGATTCTATCTTCATTCTTCAGTCAATTATATAGTAATTTATTCTAGTATTTGTTGGGTTGGATGTTTTATTACCAAACAGCATGAAAAATTTTTTGGGTTTTCCCCCAATTGTGAAAAGTTCTTAGCACATCAAAGATTATTCCATTTACAGCAATCGGGTCACAGCTTGAGAATATTGATCTGATCTGATTTGTTGGGTGATGATTAGAAAGTCACTGATATAGACAAGGATGATGATGAGAGTCCATAATGTTGCAATGGGAAATACCAATATTTATTACCAGAGTAGAAGTGGTAGTGCAATATATGTATATTTGTTGGAACCTGTTATTCCAGTATGACTGGTAAACTTAGTGATGGCCAAGTCATTTTAGCTTAAGGAGAATGGGCAAAGCATTATTTAGACTAAGGTATTTTAAACACTTCCTTACATTTGGAAGGAAAATGTAGACAATCATACAGTGTACAATGTCCTCATGAGGTAATGTTACTGGCAGGATATAACAAGAATCTTTTACTTGCTCTAAAATTAAGAATTATTAGAACGTGTTTGTAGATGATATACAATGCAAAAATAAGTAATAAGAATTACTGTTTCCCTTGGGAGGAAGAACTGGATAGACCCGAGCAAGTGGAATATGAAAGTGGAATGTGAAATTTTGACGTGGGTAAATACCCAAAAAACTAAAGGTAGTAGGGTGGTAGACAGCAAGTGGCCAGGGAAGTAAACCATTCTGCCAAGCGAGTTGTAAAACGAAAGCCTGTAATTGTTTTACATGATGGTAGGATTCCTGATGTCTTTTTTTTTTCTTATAAACATACAAAATTTCAGGTACATCTTGCTACTTCTACTTACACTTGGGCAGCTACACAAAACATTTTTTTTTTTTTTTTTAACTGCTGGCCCCTTTCCCATGAGGGAGGGGGACCCAGAAAAAAAAGCCCCAAAAGAAAGAAAAAT